TCTCCATCCCATTAACCCCCTGCAGGCTAGAACAGAAGTCTACAATAATGGTCACTGGGAATTAATGCCCTGAAAAAGATAAGAAGGGAACTTCCCCAACAATCAATTAATCCCAACTCTTACCTTGAAGGCTATGGTTTCATAGGGCTCTGCTGCCATCAAAAGGTATTGCCAGCGTCTATCAGGGGGCTCAATCCTCTGCTCGTAGGCTGACATGAACCGGTGACGAGGCATGATACTTTCTGCAATCTCTGGGTAATCAATCTGTTGGGGTGTTGTTGCAGCATTAAGGAGATGTCCAGGACAGGGGAACATTCCCTTTCCACCCCACCTTTGCACAAAGCAAATCCCTCAACCGTGAAGCATATTGAGAGATCAGTTCCAGACAGAGGCCACCAAAGGAAACAGCCTGACTCAATCAGCAGCAGAGCATCGGGCAGATAAGGCCTTTTTTTTTTAATCATTATTAATTTCATGAAGCTTGCCAAGAACTGCTTGTTCAGCAGCACTTTTACTCATAATCCTGACACCAAGAATTTGACAGTGCTCTTACCTGGAAGAGAAGGCTCTGCTGGCCTGTTTCTGGGTCTCTCTGTTTGGTCACTGTAAAGAAAAGAAGAAAGCTCAGTGAAGAAAGCAGGGTTACAGCAACATTATTTCTGCCCTAGGAAACACACAAAGCTTTCAGCAACAAGATACTACAACATTTTTCTCCCATTTATCAAACAAAATACCACGTTTTTTTTAACCAAAGTCACTACTGTGTTCAGTTTCAGGCCCCTCATCACACGAAAAAGATATTGAGCTGCTGGAGCAGGTCCAACAATGCTGCAGCGTCTGGAGCACAAGTCTGATGAGGAACGGCTGAGGGAGCTGGGTTTGTTCAGCCTGGAGAAGAGGAGGCTCAGGGCAGACCTTCTCACTCTCTACAATTACCTGAAAGGAGGTTGTAGTGAGATGGGGTCGGTCCTTTCTCCCAAGTAACAAATGACAGGACAAAAGGAAATGGCCTCAAGCTGCACCAGGGAAAGTTTAGACTGGATATTGGGAACAATTTCTCCACTGAAAGGGCTGTCAAGCACTGGAGCAGGCTGCCCAGGGAAGCAGTGCAGTCACTGTCCTTGGAGGTGTTTAAAAGACATGCAGATGTGGCACTTAGGGACTTGGTTTAGTGGTGGCCCTGGCAGTGTTAGGTTAATGGCAATTTCCAACCTTAATGATTCTGTGATTCTACTAAGGATCTCCACTGAAATTCAGCTGTTGAAGGGCAAACACTGTGCACTGCAGAGCAAAGCTGGGAGGTAAAGAAGCCAAGTTTTGCACTGAAGGCCAAACCAACACAATGAGGAGTTCAGAGAAAACACTTGAGCTATACATGCAATGAGTGATTTATGAGCATTACTGAATGATAGTACAGCACAGTAAAAGGAGAAGAGAGACTGAAACATCATTATCTGCTGCATGATTTCTACTAAGAGCTGACTGAGACATACCAATCTATTATTAAAGTGGTTCTCACTCAACTGACAGCAATAAAGAGATGTTCATGGCAATTTCAACAACAGACATCAGGAGATAAGCCCATCTCTTATTCATAGCCATAACTGCTCAGAACACTAATGAATAATTCACATCCCCAGCAGTGTACTTCATCAGCTTGGGCAGACATTGGGTGCCTCCCACAACAGACACACCCCCATCCCCAACAAACCTTTATAACCTGGTCTTCCAATTTTCACAAACTTCTTCACTTCCACTTTGACCTTTTCTGGTGCAGGCTGGGCAGGGGCCTCCTTGGCCTCCTTGGCAGCTCGACGGGCCCTGCAGAGTGATTTGACACGTGCCAAATTGAAAAGGTTAGCCCCACTTGTTTCTGAAGGATGCACTAGGAGCAGCTTGAATCCCTTCCCATGGAAGATTCAGTGCTTCACAGAAAGAATGCCAGGAAAACCTGCCATGTCTCTTCTACATGCACCACTACAGGCCACTTGTATCCATGCCCCCCCCTGCCTAAAGGCTGTCATCTCATTTATCTTATCCTCCCCCAAGCTGACCTTGGATTTGAGAAGACTTCTTGAAACATAAAAGAAGAAAACCACACGAGCTACTCATCTAAACGAAAGCAAACTTTGCATTTCTTCAAATAAAGCTTACAAACTTCTCCCAGCCTGTATTCACAAAACCAGATCCTTCTAACCAGACTCAGACAATTTGCTTTTAAAACTCTTTCTCCCCCTTCCTTCAGAAATCCCCAAACTGGCTTTGAACTTGAGCTCGAAATGGAGCTTGTCATGTTTTGGAGCAGATCTAGGCTGTCCCCCCGGCTAATGCCAGGCTGCTCCCTAGGAAACAAGCACAGTGAAAGAACATTCAGGCACGGTGGCTACTGGATAATGGAGGTGAAGATCTGTAGATGTGCACCACTTCAGTTTTAAATTGCTTTAGTAATGGAGAATAAAGCTACAGTGGAGAACAACTTACAGATTGGTCTGATGCTTCTTCCCCTGGGTATGGGCTAAGTAACTTCCCTGCAATAAAAAACAAGGAATAAGAAAGTTAAATGAAGGCGCATCTTACACTGAGAGATACTTGTCACAGAGGAGAGACAGCATCACACATTGACAAGGGTATTTTAATCCTTAGCAGAGAAGGAATCTTAACTCAAAAATTAGATTGCTCTCAACTGCTGAAGTGTCACGAGCAGTCAGGCTTAGCACACAAGAGCCACCACCCCCCAGCATCTCCTCAGTACGCAGCCATCAGGCACATCCCAGGTTCTTGCACCTGAAGCTGTATTCTAAAATCCCTGCTGCCAAGACGCAGCCAGCCAGCCTCTCAGCTCACCTCATTGTTGTGCAGCGTCAGGCAGAGCTTGCATTCATAAGAGCCCAAGTGATTTTTCATAAAATAAGGGTCCTAAGAAGAGAATTGTTCAAAAGTTAAGAGCAAAATACATGGCAAAACAACAGGATAACCAAAATATTGACAACCTTCTTCTGCATTGGAAGAACTGGGTTCATAGATTTAAATTACCACCACGATACTGCTTTAGGACTATGAAAACAGAAACAGTTGTTCACTGGTGACAGCAAACCCAACTACAGGGAGGAAACGGCAAAATACTAACCAGTCCTGAGAAGGCTGAACATAATATAGTACCAGCATCTTGAACATAATATAGTACCAGCATCTTGAACACAAAGTGCTGGCACCTCTGTGATCAGCCCCATCACAAGTGCTCCTCATTCAACTCCCACATTACCAGGAACAGAAATACTTCATTCCAATCCACAACCCTCCACTAAATCTCACACCCTCCAAGCTATTTCACTCAGGCAAAGCCCTAAGTGCTTCCCCACAGCTGGACAGGTCGCTCCTGCAGGACAGGAGCCCCGTGTCTTTTCCTTCCTACACACACAGAGGCCAAGGCTCACCTTGTTGATGTCGATGGTTTCCAAAGCCAGCTGCCGGAGCCTTTCCCTGCGGTCTCGGTTACTTTCTGAGGCAGAGGCTACGCCTCCGCTGCCTGTTTTGCCCCCAGGACGATGCTGAAAATCCATGATGGGGACTTTTGTGCTTCAGCTACTTATGGAGAAAGTCTGGAAAGATAAGGAAAAGCAATGTGAGTGATAACTAATGCTTTTCCCAACGTGGAGGTCCCCCCACTATTTACACCCATCAGCAAGGATGGGAGATGAGCACATAAACCCTGCCCTGGACACTTGCCACTTGACGCAGGGTCAACCACAGCGGGTCTTGTACCACTGGCTCAGTAAGCGGAGAGTAAAATGATCCAGAATAACAACGTAATATTGGTTAAATATTAAAGGGGGCCTACAAGAAAGCTGCAGAAGGGCTTTTGACAAGGGTAAATGGTAACAGGACAAGGAGGAATGGCTTTAATCTGACGTATTGGAGACTGAGATGAGCTCTTAGGCAGAAGCTCTTCCCTGTGAGGGTGCTGAGGCGCTGGCACAGGGTGCCCAGAGAAGCTGTGGCTGCCCCATCCCTGGCAGTGTTCAAGGCCAGGTTGGACACAGGGGCTTGGAGCAAGCTGCTCCAGTGGAAGGGGTCCCTGCCCATGGCAGGGGTTGGAGCTGGAGCAGATTTCAGCTCCCTTCCAAACCAAACCATTCTAGGCCTCTATGAACAAGCCTCCAGAGACTGCTGCATCTTCTCAGCCACTGTTTCTACACATTCTCCTCCCCACGCTCAACGAGGCTCTGCAGCCCCACCAGCAACCCAAACCAGGAGCCTCCAACCCTCCCCCTTGGCAGTGAACAGCCCCAGAACCAGCCAAAGCCTTCTCCATCGGTTCAGTGCTGCCTCCCTTACCCCCCCCCGCCCCACAGCCACCCTTAAGCAGCCCCAATGCCTCCAACCTCCCCCCCTCCAGCAAGGCCAGACCCTCTGCGCACCATCCCCAGTGCCCCTATGGGGTCCTAGCCCCCCCCTGCCACTTTCCTCCCCGCAGGGACGATTCCCCCAACCCTGGTAAGACCTTTGCAGGAGCACCAGAGACCCCCAGCCCTTCAGCAGGCCTCAAAGTCCCGTCCCCCCAACCCCGAGCACCCCCCAGCAAGGCTCAGCCCCTCTGAACCCCCCACCAAGGGGTCAAGGTCCCTCTCAAACGCTCCCCACAAACAATCTCGAACCCCTTGGCAAGGGTCAAAGCCCCCCCCCCCCCTTAACCCCTCAGCAAAGGTCTAAGACCCCAACCCCCCCCCCCAAACCTCCCCAGCCCTAGGCCTAAAGCCCCACACACCTCCGCAAGGCCTCAAAGCCCCCAGACCCTCATCAAGGATCACGCCGAAGCCCCCCCCAGCGCCCCCCAACCCCTCAACAAGGGGTGAACCCCCCCCAACGCCCCCCACTGACACCCAAACCCCCGCCATCGCCCTCACGCTCCCCAGGCCCCTACCGCCTCCCGCCGCTCCCGCCGCGCGCATGCGCGGGGCCCGCTCCGGCTTCCGTAGCGATCGGTTCCGGGGCGGGCGGGCGGGAGCGGCTCCGGGCGGGCCATGGGGCGGGCGTGAGGGGCGGTGGGGCCGCCATGAGGTACAACGAGAGGGAGCTGCTGTCCCTGGCCCGGCAGCCCGCTGAGAAGGCGGCCGAGATCTTGATGCGGGTGCCCAAGAAAGGGAGCGGTGAGAGGAGGCGGGGGGGGGGGCAACGGGACAGGGAGAGCTGCGGCTCTGAGGGGGGAGGACACGGAGCAAGGCCTGGGTGCGTTGAGGGGGGACTGGGGAGCACGGGTGCTGCCGTCGGGTACAGGTTGGGGGTCTTGGGGAGGGACCGGGATGAGAGGAAGGGGCGCTTCCCTGGAGTATCGCAGCGAGTTTCCTTTGGAGCGTTGGGAATCCTTCCTTTCCCTGCGTCGGCCTCTCCTTGCAGGCCTGTGGGCTTTGTCCCTGAGTAACAGCAGTGCTGGGGGGGGGGGATGCATCCTGTGCCTGTCAATGGGGGGATGCTGTGCGCTCTGCCTGCCCAAGGAGCCACTGGAGCAGCTGCAGGGTGACTCTGGCACCCTGGGGCTGCGGTTCAGCTGTGGGGTGGGTGAGAGCTCCTCTAGGAGCAAAGGGCGGCACCGGAGCAGGGCTTCCCCGTGGGTTTGGTGGGGTCGGTGCCATGGCAGGGATGGAAAGGGGTTCCGCTCGCCCCTTGTGCCCACCTCAGCACTGGTTTCCTTTGCAGTGTTAAAGAAACGCCTCGTGAAGCTGGTTGTCAACTTTCTCTTCTACTTCCGGACGGACGAAGCGGAGGTAGGGAATCTGCTGTGGCCTCATTCGGCTTCATACAATCCCTGCCTGGGTTGGGTTGAAAGGGACCTTAAAGCTCATCCAAACCCAACCCCTGCCGTGGGCAGGGACCCCTTCCACTGGAGCAGCTTGCTCCAAGCCCCTGTGTCCAACGTGGCCTTGAACACTGCCAGGGATGGGGCAGCCACAGCTTCTCTGGGCACCCTGTGCCAGCACCTCAGCACCCTCACAGGGAAGAGCTGCTTCCTTATAAGTGCTCTTAATCTACCCTATGAAATCTCCTCCCTCTCTCTTCTTTCTCTGTGGATTGATTGCATGGGCTTTATACAATGGTGCAACAAGAGGCTGCCAGAGCCAGGACACAGCAGCCACGTTTTCTCTTCCATCAACTCAGTGAGACCTCATAGGGGTGAGGAGCGGTGCTGCCATCTCAGCACTCCCACGTGCTTCTCCTGGGAGCTTGGAATGAAGCTGTTAAACATAACTGTGGCCCCAGAGCTGCCAAAGGTGGAGTCTGTGATGTTTGTCTGTAGGACTGTGGTGCCAGACTGTGAGGGGAGGCTGAGATTTCGCTCTCCTGGGAAAAGCATTAACATTGCTTTTTCTTTCTGTGTCAGGAATTTTGTGTGCACACAATGCTCGCTGTTACCGGGATGCTCTGGTGGCCATACTGTGGCACCGTGGGTTTTCTGGGCATGCAGAAGCCCTGCTTGGGTCTAGAAAAAAGATAGAACTGAGGGATGTGACCTTTGGGCTCTGTTGCCAGCTTCGCCAGTGCTGAGATCTGGTGATTTTTAGTGAATCCCTTCATAACTGTTGCTAAAGAGTCTTTTGGTGGAAAGCGAATATAAAAGTGCTATAATGATGCGTGTGAAGAAAAGTGCTGTGTGCATGCTGGTGCTACAGACAGGAGCTGGGAAGCTTCTGTTGGTGGTTTTAGACTTAGTTTGTCCGGACTCTTTCACTCTGATAAGGGCTGAGCTCCTCTTTCCAGTTCTGCCTTTTCCTCCTCTCTGCTCAAGCACAGCCACTGCTTCACTGGTGCTGCAGGGGCCGCTTTCCAGGGTGATGGAGATGCTGAGCAGCCTCCAGCACATGTCCCTGTGCAGGCTGAGGTCTGGCTCCTGCACCACTGCAGGATGAGGCTCTGAGGACAGAGCCCATCTCCTCCACTGCCACCAGCACTGCTCTGCTTCCTTTCCTGGTGGTGATTTGGAAGCACGTGTGTGCGCTCTGATGGAGGGGAGAGGATGTTCTTGAATGGATCAGAAGAGCTCAGCAGATAGGTGGAGGGTGCTAATGTAAAACCAGTGTGCCAGAAATAGAGAATAAACCAGGGTTTTCAGTATCTTCCCTGCTGTCCTGTTTGCCTCTCACAGTTTGTTTAGCTTGGACAAAAGAATTTGCTTTTTGTGGGTTGCCTTTGTGGCTTTTATCCCCCTTTGCTTCCCGTGTCCTCGCTCTGTGCACTAGCGAGCAAATAGCACCTACCTTTTGTCTGTTTATCCTGAGCTGTTCTAGTTCATCACAGACTGTTCTTAATACCCTGCAAGGCTCCAGGACTGCCTGTACCAAGTACAGTGTGAGTTGTTCTGTGTCATGTTAAGTATTTCATCTTTGTTTGATTCACTGAGCAAGGAAGTAAATCTTCAGGGTCCTCACGTCACAGAAACAATGCTAATGCCAGGGTTGAATGTGAGCAAGCAGAGATGTTTAATACCTCATTCACGTACACAGAGTGTTCCAGGTAGGACTAGCACAGTGAAGCATGACTGCAGACACCAAAAGGTTCATTAAAAACCATGGAACATCCATGTAATTGGAGTGAATTACTTTAAAGGTAGCATCAGGTGGTGAAACTCAAATGGCACCACCAGCAAACTGGGTTCAGAACACTGTTATGCTGGTGGGCAGAGTGGCTTAATCCTTCTCTCCGGGTCTTTTCCAGCCCATTGGAGCTCTGCTGCTGGAGCACTGCAGGATCACCAAAGAGGAGGAGAACGTCTTCTCAATCAGTGAGTTCCATCTCTGCATCTCCTTTGTGTTTCCCTTATGGCAAATAGTGCTATGTAAAAGGAAAGGTTTTGCTGCTTAGTTCCTTCTTTTCCCTCTCTTTCTGTGGTGACAGTAGGGCCAGTGCTCCTCAGCCTTTTCCTCCTCCTCAATGCCCCTCAGCCCTTCTCCTCCTCCTCAGCTGCCAGTTACTACTGTGGCATTGCCATCCCCCATTAGTATTTTGTTGCTGGCTGAACCAGTCTGCGTGACTTGCACAGCTGCTTGTGGGGAGAGAAGCAAGAACAAAACAGACAGACCATGGCTTGTGGAAGTCCCTCTGTAGGAGGGTTTGGTGCTGACAGGTTGCTGCTTCTGTGCTACTGCATTCATCAAAACAAAAGTGAGCCTCAGCTAAACCATCTGCCGGGCTAATCTAGCACCAGTCCTCCCGTCACGCTGCTCGTCCTTGTGTCGATAGCCATGGCTCCAGCTGGCCCGTGGTGTGTCGTCCTTTGTAAGCAGTCTTTCATCCAACAACTAATCATTGTGTGAGAGGTATGTGGCAGAAATAACAGGATGTTTCTCCAAGGCCATCCCCGTATCTTTTGGCCTGGTTGTCAGGCACAGCTGCTTCTCTGTGCAGAGCCTTGTCTCCCCTTCCCACTGGGAGAGGTGGTGTTCTTGCTGTCTGCAGAGCATCCTCAGGCAGGCTGGACACGCTGATCTCTCTGAGCACCAGCTCCAAATTTCCTTAGGTTTGTTGGGAACTGGTGAATGAGGGGTCCTGGGAAAGGAGCCGAGTGCAGTTGGGGTTGGGTTTGTCCCTGCACTGCAGCCCTAAGGGGTCTGGTGCAGTCTGACCCAGTTATTTCTCAGCAGAAGCCTGGATCTCTGTGGGCTGTGTACTGAAGAGCAGAGCTCTGAGGACAGTGTCATTAATTAGATGTCCTGATTCTGTCTTGGTGAAGAACAGGACTTGCACAGGGACTTGCTTTCTGCTGTGCTTAGTACCAAATTCCCGAAAGCCTTAAGCAAAGACAGGTCAGTGCCTTCTCTGAGTACATTTAACATCTCAGATGGCTGCCCTCTGCATGGGTCACAATTGCTTCCTTGGGGCCATTTTCCACTTGGATTACTCAGTCTGTGCGGACTGTTTGCAAGGAGGCTCAGGGAGCTGCAGTCTGCCCTGGCCATGTTGGTCTGGTTCAGTTCCGAGCTGCTGCTCTCAGTGGAAGTTGCTCTTTCCTCTCTTTGCAGCAGTCTTTGGCTGCTGACAGATGGTGGCAGAGGCTCAGGACCAGCAAGGAGCCACGCAGGGTAAAGGAGAGGGGCCAGAGGCCTGTGCTACCAGCTCGGTCACAGATCATCTTGGTTGAACAGAGACATGAGCTGCAGCCTGGCTGTTGCTGTGAGAGCCCAGTGGAGCCAGGACCTCCCTGAAGCCTTTTCCTTGTCCCTGGCAGGTTTCATTGAGGAGCCCGAGAGGAAATACTGCTTCGAATGTGACAGTGAGGAGCAGTGTCAGGAGTGGATTGAGGCACTCAAGAGAGCCAGGTAGGCTGAGCCACCAGGGCCAGGGCTGCCTCGTGTGCTCTGGGCTGTTTGTTTTCTGGGATGGGCTTGTGGTGAACCCAGGGAGGAAAAGTGGTTGTCTCCTCCCAAGCCAGCTGCCCTCTGGCTCTAAATAGCAGCTGAAACTTCACATCCTGTCCTGCTCAGCCTGCCCATGGTCTGTTCCTGTCTTACAGCTACGAGTTCATGAGGAGGAGCTTGATCTTCTACAGGAATGAGATCCAGAAAATGACAGGGAAGGTGAGAGAGTCCCTGGAAGTTGACTTGTCAGTGGTGATGATGGGTTTGGACCGGAGCAGGGCCAGCAGTGTCTGGTGTTGCTGGCAGCTGTTCTGCACAGGGCTCTTTGCTGCCATGGGTATGAAAGAGATCCTGTAGTAAGCCAGAGCCTGAAGCTGTGCTCCCAACAGCCAGACCTGAGTCTTCCTCCCCTCGGCAGCCTGCGTTGTGCCCAGCTCTGTCCCTCTTCCGGTGGTGGAGTGGTGCAGGGTTTGTAGCTGACCAGATCTGGCCAGGGCTGCCTGTGAACTCTTCCAAAGAAGTGGTGGGACTCCCAGCACACGTGGGTCCAAATGCTCTCACACCCCTGCCAGGCTCCTCGGAGCATCCCTGCTCGAGGTGATGGAGGTGGCTGCAGCTCACCTGTGTGCTCCTGCACCAGCGTGGCCTTGAACCATGCGTGGTTGTTCCCTGTGTCCTCCTCGATGGCTGCCTGGCTTTCTGCACCAGAAACAGCAGCCAGGGCTGGGCTGGGGAACATCCAGCCCTGCAGAATGGCTGAGGGACAGTCCTGGCCTCCCCTCTTCTCTGTGTCTCACTGGTGCCTTCCCTCTGCTCTGGCTGCAGGACCCCCTGGAGCAGTATGGGATCTCGGAGGAAGCCCGCTTCCAGCTGGGAACACGCAGGCAGTAATCCCCTCTCTGGAGCTGCCCCGGTGCCTGGCCCCAGGCTCCCCTCCCCGGGGACAGCAGCAGCAGTGACCAAGGGACTTTTTAATTTATTAGCCACATCATTTTGTATGATTTTTTTAACACGGAATTCTTTGCACATTCCCCCTTGCCCCAGCTCTGGAGGCAGCCAGGCTTAACTGCTGCACTGGTGGCATGAGAGCAGAGGAGGCAGGGACTGAACAGAGCTGCAGCACCCGCTGTTCTCTGCTGCTGGGGCAGGTCCTGAGCCAGCTCCAGCCCTCCTCTTCCTCCCCTCCTGCAGGGAGCTACTCAGCTTTTCTGGCTCAGGATCTTCCTGCAATCTGCAGGGGTTGTTCAGCCCCTCCTGGCAGAGGATGCTCCACTTGATGGCATTTCTGTGCTTGCAGGGTTAACCCTGTCCCATCCACTCCTGCTCATTGCAAAGCCATTCCATGCTCACCAAGCCTGATGGTGCAGAGGAGCTGGAAGCCTTCCACTAACAACAGGAGAGCTCAGCTGCAGGTGACAGGGGGTGACGTCCCCTGTGACAAGGCAGCCACTAGCACCGGCCTCTGGAGTGGTTTCCTTCTTTCTCCCTCCTCTGGGCAGGTTGTTTCAGTTCCTAGAGCCTGGAGGAGCCCACGCTGCAGCCCACTCAGAGCACTCCACAAATGCATTTGAAAGCAAAGCTGAAAGCACAGGGAGCAGAAAGCAGAGTGGGACCCATGGAGGGGGCCAGGAAGGAAGCCAGGTGGAGGTTTGGAAAGATGGGAACTGCTCCACTTTGGCTGGAGGTTGTGGCTTCAGGCCCTGCAGAAGTTAATCCTGGTGAGCGTGTGGGAGCTGGGCAGTAACCCTTCATCCCCTGAGTTCCTGCAGCATTCCTCCCCTTTGTAAGCATCCGAAGAGAAAGACTGGGACACTGGAAGACCAGGACACTGTGCCACAGTCATGGTGAGCTGCCAGGGAACAGGCGCTGCCATCCCTGGGGCTTCTGCAGTGAGGGGGTGCCAAGGAACATCCCTCCTCGAGGCTCTGGCTGCACAAAGGAAAACTGCCCAGGGATGAGGGGTGGAAGGACCCGCACCCCGAGGCTGCAGGAGACCCAGATTCCTGACGCCCACAGCAGCAGAGGATGCAGCTGGCAGCAGCTGCCTGGAACTAGATCAGGAAAACCTCCAGGAACCCCTGGGAGGGTCCCAGGTACCGTTGTCAGGCCCTTGATGACAGAAGGGACTCGGGCAGATGCAGCACAAGATGAACTTTGGGGGTTCACCTGGGTAGCAGGAGCGCTGCCGCAGCCAACAGCACAGGGTAAGCGAGGGGCAGCCTGTGCTGTGAGCTGGGCTGGAAGGGAAGCTCTGACTCTCTTCCTCTGGGAATTGATGCTGAAATGAGCCTGTATTGTGAGCCCCAGTGACCTGGCCTGGCCTCATCTCATGCTGCTGGGCACCGGGAGAGTGGCAGATGTCACTGATGCTTTAGGTTCAGTCTCCAAGCCAAGGTTTTTCCTTTCCCTCCCCAGATAGTCCCTTTCCTTTCAATCATTCCAGGTGCTTGCTCCAGAAATTGCCAAAAGAAGCCGAGGGGCAGCTGGCCTGCACAATAAGCTGAGGGCATGATGAGGTGGAAGCAGAACCCAGGGTGGTTTGGAAGACAGATGGCAGCTCTAGTGGAAGCAGCAGTGAGGGATTAAAGGCAGGAACACAAAGCTTGTGCTTTAGGGAATTAGTGTCCTCAGCTCAGTTTAATCCTCACAAGCCTCCTCTGCTTTACCTCAGTGCAGGGGCATGTTCCTGCCGTGCTGGTGGGTGCACAGCAGCTTTACTGACTGTGACAGAACCTGGTCTGGTCGCTTGCGAGGACGGATGGGTGGATGTGGATGCAGCTCCAGCTTCAGGGTTGCTTTGCCAGCCAGGAACGCTGCTGCAGCGCCGCTTTAGGGGCAGAAACCCGAACTGAGCCCCCCGGGGTTCAGCATCCGTGACTCCATCAATGCACAAAGTCAATCCATACATGAACCCTGCGAATTCTGCCACATTCAATCGTTTCCAGCCAGCAAGCAGCAGCTCATACCCTGCTGCCCTCAGGAACAGCCCCTTCTCAACCTCGTGCCTTTCAGCTCCTGGCAGAGCTGCCACCCGCCACCTTCACTGTACCTAAAAATGGGCATTTTCTGTTATGGGAACAGTTGGGGGAGCAGGAGAGAATCCCACCCCCTATTTAAGAGGTTGATGACATTTCTGACCTGAATGTAAGACAAATGCTGTGAAGCCTTACATGGGCCCGTGGCCGGCCCGGTAAGTAACTTGGATCCACTTCCAGACTAGTGTAGGACACTGGGTGAGCTTTCAGGAGGATGGTACTGCCAAGACACCTCGAGATGCACATCGACTGGTTGTGAATTGTGGACTATTGGTCATGTTTCCTCCTCTGGTCACTGTGCTTTTGTATTTCAGTGCTGTGTACAGGCTCCCGATGGTGTCCTGAAGCCGTTTATCTGTTGTACAGCGACCTTTCCAATAAACACTTGTTTTAATCTTGGTGGTTGTCTGAGAAGCCAAATCCTCCCCTGGGGAGGGGTGGCTGGAGCGAGCTCTGTGCTGAGGGGCATTGGAACAGGCTGCCCAGGGCAGGTTTAGATGGAGCTGAGGAACAATTCCTGCCCCAGAGGGTGCTCAGGCATTGGAACAGGCTGCCCAGGGCAGGGCTGCAGGCACCGTCCCTGCAAGTGTTCACACAGCGTGGAGACGAGGCCTCAGTGCCATGGGGCAGGGGTGGCCTTGGCAGGGCTGGGAATGGTTGGACTGGATGAGCTTAAAGGGCTTTTCCAACCCAGGGGGTTCTGTGGAGAGACGATGCCCGCAGCCCCATGAGGAGGAGCACGGTGGGGGCTGGAGGCAGGGACCCTGCTCAGGACGCAGCTGCAGATGCTCCAGGTTGGAGGGGTTTGTACCGGAGCCGAGTGCTCGGCTGTAGCTCAGGTGACAATGAAACAGGCTCAGGCAGACAGAGCTGGGTCCTGCTGCTGCCTGTGCACAGCACCTAAAACCCATCTCAGGCCAGGAGCTGCGTGAGCACTGGATGCAACGGGACCTGCAGCTCATTTTAAGGCTCCTCCAGCCGTTTCCCTTCACCAGCATTTGAACACATCCATTTCCTTACACTGGTGAAACCACTGGCTGAAAGGCTCCCCAAGGAGAAGCGCACCAGCACGTTAAACCCCATGAGCTGGGCTGTCCCTGGCCTCCCCGGAGCTGAAGGCACTAAGTCAGGATATGGGGGGGGAACACACGGCTGCTGCCCTCAGATAAAGCCACATCCAGAGCCCCCATTTCCTTGCTGGCTGCTGGCAGCGGCCCCACTGAAGCAGTGAAACGCCACAACAAGACGGTGTATTAAAATACAGACACTTTAATATAAAGACCAAACTTCAAAGCATTGTTTCCATTACAAATCAAGGTAAAGACACAAGAAATTAAGTGGAGGGAGGGGAGGAAAGAAAAAAACCAACCCCTAACTCTTACATTGGGGAGAATTAGAAAGGCAGGGTGGAAATATATATATTATACATACATATATACACAGCAGAAGAATTCATTCTAGTTCTATGGAAGAATGGAAGGAATGAGAGGACAAGTGAGCGGTATAAAACAAAACTCCAACGACGACGACAACAAAAATAAAAAGATAAATTAGGGGAAGTCTGAACTTTAAATAATTCGATTTAATAGACTAAAATTATATAAACTAATTCCTATTCACTAGGAAACATCCCATTATCACTGCCCTAAGAAAATGGGGGGGGGGGTGTAAAAAATCCACTGCAAAATGGATTTCATTAGTAGTTAAAAGTTTACGAATCAATTCCTGAGCAACAGCAACCTCCTCACCTCCTGCTTCCCCTACCCAGGGCCCACTCGGCGGGCGCAGGCTCACCCTCCTGCCGCCTGGAAGTAGAACAGAGACCTAACCAGCTGGGGTTTCATCTGAGACCGAGGGCTGCCCGGAGGAGCAGGGCACGCAAGGACGGCTCAGCCCCTTCCGCCTCCTCAGCTCCCCCCACCACCACCTCCCGAAGCGATGGGGCTGAGCGGGTGCGCCTCGAGCCAGCCAAGGGAGGACTTGGGGTTCGCGCCCCACAACTCGGCGTTCCGAGGTGGGGGTTTGGTTTGAACCGAGAACAGCTGCAGAGACGGGCTCAAGGACAGCAAATGCGCTGCAGAAAAGTTTCCCTTTACTTCGTGGCCTAGGTTGAAACCCTGAAGTTCCCATCTTTTCTTGCAATACTCAGTCTAAACAGATATTTATGTATCTATAATGCATAAGGATTAATAAAACATGGCACAAGACCACCTTTAACAGGGGCAACCCATCGTTCAGTGAAAACCTGACACGCAAGCTACGGAGCAAAGCAAAACGGGGAAAATCCCTCTGGAACAGCCATAAGAAGAGGAAAACTCCAGAGCTGAGCTTCCCAACCCCTTCCTGCGTTGTCTCCTCAGTGCTGCAAGGAGAGTTCACAAACCCACTGGAACACTGAATCGTTTCTTCTCCCCAAACCGTGGCTTTCAAGCACGTTCTTGTCGGTTTGCAGTCCACTGCAACAACATCCACACCTTCCCCAAAGGAATCGTTTACTTGGAGCTCCCACCACTTAATCCTCTTTGTGCTTTTGGCTCAGGGAAAACAAGGGAAGCAGAATCTGTCAAGAGCTGGGTGGGATGGGGTAACTCCCTCCAAGAAATAAGCACACCCATAATGTTCAGGTTTCCAACCCCTCTATTAAAAGACTGAATTCAGCACAGGACTGGGTTGTACCTAGGACTCGATCCACCAAAGCTGGACTTGATCCACCAAAGCCTCCTCCCATCCCATCAATCCTAAGGAGCATCTTCTGCCATGGGAAGGGACAGTGACCCCGGGCTGGGGAAGCACCTTTGGTACCTGGAGGTGATCAGCACCAGCTCCAGACCGGCCGAGGAAGGAAGGACCATGGAGGGGAGTCACCATCAGCAGCCCAAGAACTGAGCCTCCTCTTCCAGCAGCTCCTGAGCGAGGGCTCAGGTCCCACAGGGCCTTGTGCCAGTGTCCCCATAGGGTGACCGAGAGCGTGGAGAGCCTCGGAGGAGATGATGAGCTGCAGCACAGCCACCGCACCCCACCAAAACCATCGCCTGTCCCATGGCAGATGCCAGCTCCGCACCCGCCGATGCTCCCCTGCCCCGCAGCCGCTCCTCTGCTGGGGCTCTTCCAAGTGGAAACCAGAACAGGGCCGGGGAGCAGAGGCTGCTTTCCAAACACAACATCCCCGCAGAACCAAACCACGCCGGTGCCTGGAGGTGACCCCGAGCTGCCTGTCCCTGGCCCCCGCACCCAGCGACCAGGGCAGATACAGAGAATCGGGGAGGAGCTTGGGTTGGAAGGGACCTTTAAAGGCCACCTCACCCAGCCCCTGAAGGAGGAGGTTGAAGAAGTGGCACCAAACCTCTCCGAAGGAACCTCTTGAAGGCACCTACACACACGGGGCCCTGCGGCCAAGGGATACTGAAGCGTGTTGAAATGAGATCGAGATGCAAAGGGAGAGCTCACCAAGCCTGAAACCTCTGCTCGGCAGCTTTCAAAGAGAAGTTCCCTGCTCCAGTATAAAGAAGAAAGCGACTCAACACTGACATTAACTGGGCTGGGTGAGCATCAAGCCCTGGGGATCTGAAAGCTCTTGACTCACAAAACCAGCGACCGGTGGCTCCCGTTACGTTCAAGTGATGCAGCCTCCTCGCCTGGGTGCGCCAGCGACCGTAGGTGCAAGCACAGGTTCAGTCCCTACAAGCTGCCCTGCATCCCCACATGCACACCCCACCAGCCAGTCCTGGCACAGGGGAAGTGAGCACAAAGGGGGCACCAGCAGGTAAAGCGGCTGCTGCCATTAGGAAGGAAGGAAATGAGATGGAAGCACAAGAAGGTATTTCTGTTTCTCTGGTCAAGCAGACATGTCCCTGTCATTGGAAGAAACCAGCTGGAGACGGTGCCACGTGCATCCCGGAGGTGCTGCATTCCCTGATGTTGGCAGCTGCCCCTTCCTTTATGTCCTCCAGCAACATCTTCCCACCTTCTCCCTCCTCTACACGAAAAGCACTGGGACTGCTGGTGCCCAACGGAGGAACCGCTGCGGAATGATGAACGCACAGCGAAGAGCACGTTGAGATCTGGTGCCTTTGGAGCCTCCCAGCCTGGTGGATCCGGGTGGACTGAGCCCAGGCCAGAGGCAGCAAATCCCCAGACAAGAGCAGGGCTGGCTCCTGGCAGCAGGCAGCAGCGGGCACAGGCTTTGCTCAGCGCAGGGCTCGGCAAGTTCCTTCCTTGCTCTTGGCAACGCGCGTGCTCCAAGCTGTATCTGAGCTTCCTGACAAGTCCCTGGCACCAGCGGCGCGGAGCAGAGGGAACTTGTGTGACAGCCACGGGAGGCGGGGAGCCGGCAGGGTGCGGGCACGCAGGAGGAATTCCCTTTGGGAACTGCCTGCTCGGCTGTGACTTCTCACAAGTGTCTCCAGTTATCGCAAACAGGTTGCGGACCCCTGGCACAGCATTCCTCCAGCAGGGTCACGAGGGTCTTATTCTTGTAGCCGTCTGGATGGGATCTCAACAGCTCAAAGCTGTTCCTCCAGCAGCCCCACAGCAAGAGAAATGCTCTCCCCATTTGCAGACAGAGGGGAAACAGGTTGGACGTGGCCAAGGTTATGGCAAAGCGAGAGAAGATCAGGGAGAGCCGAAGACAACACCGCAAACCCCTTGGCAGCATCTCTCAGATAACACAACCCGAAGACACCAGTCCCAGAACCTGCACTCGCCGGCTTCCCATCTCACCATTGCTCCCCACCTCATCGGGCACCTTCCTGGAAGCACATCCCAGTGGGGATCACTGCAAGGACTTAGACTGTAGCTGCCACACAATGCAATTACTCAACGCCAGGTGTAGGACAGTTCCATCCTGCACCCAGACACTGATGGCTGCGTTGCTGTGAAGCTCAGGGCAAAGCTGAAGGGGAGCATGAAAGGCCCAAGGAACCCCGAATCTTGGTGCCTTTTCAGAAGAGGATCTGAAAAGCAGCAATTAAAAGCTTGGGTGTCCCCATCTTTCTCAGCAGGGATATAAATGATAGGGGGGAGACAAAATTAAGGCCGCTGCCCCTCCAGCAATTGCTCAAGCACAGCCTACCACGTTAAAGCCTTCAGAGACCGAGCGCTCGGCCGCCTGCTGGGAAGGATGCTGAGGCAGCTCTGCAACTCCCAGTCACCCAAGGAGCTGGAAGAAGCTGGAGCTGCCCAACTCCCAGCTGCAAAACATCTGGGTTACATTTGTCTTCCTGGATTCCAGGACATAAACTGCGTACGGCTTCTACTAGAAGCTACCGGATGCTTCTCAGCTCTCACCCTCTGAGCATCTTTGCCCTTCTCCAGGTTTCCATCTCGCTGTTAGTCACTCAGCAGGGCGCGTCGCTGTCAACTCCTCTCCCACATGCAAAGCAGGACACGATTCCAAAACG